GACATAGACGGAGGTTTAGTTCAAAGGAAGAACGAGTAAACAAGTAACGTAACAAGAAAAAGTACATTTCTCTTTTCAGTTTTGAAGTGTGTTTACTGTTTCATTGGTAGCTTGGAAGATTTGAAAGGAAGTTTTCAGCCCAAGGCCTTTGTTCATGTCGGCAAAATCCATGGCGATGGAGGTGAATAGAAAAGAAAACTTTAATTTTAAAACAACTTTTGATTTTATCATTAAGATTACACCCTCGTTACATTTTGGTCTATTCCATTAGACTGGAAAAGAGATTACACTCTGATACAATGAAATATATGAAGTTCATATATTTTGAACTCTAGTTTTAAAGATACTAAGGCTTAGTAGTTCACGCATACCATTTTCTAATTTGGACCAAATGTATGGTCCTTGATACCTTAGTGTGTGTTTATCAAAAGAGAAAAAAAAGTGTGGTTTCACATTGCAAACATAACGAAATATTACTTTTGATAAAGAAGAGACTTTTGGTGGGGGAATACGACAATAAAGCACTTTAGTTGCACCACATAGCGATCGACCAGCTCTAAAATCAGCATTCTATGTGCATATGGACTAAGAGGAGGGGCATATCTGTCGGGTTTGATCTTACTCACCAATCAGATTTTTATTCCATGACCGCTGCACTTCTCTTTCTTCTTTCTTCTCGCGGGCCCGTATCCTTGGCCGTGCAGCTTTTAATGCCCCTGCTCGCTCAGCCGCACACGGCCCTTATGAAGGGGCTTGTTTGTAAATCATTTCTTATTACTCGGGCTTCCGTAGGAAAGCCCAAGTCTGAAAATGCAAGCCGTTTTGGTCGCCAAAAGGGGGCTTATGGTCCCAGGCGTTCCTTGCGTAAACCGCGCAAACTGGGATGAGAGTGAAACAACTTGTGTTGTCGTGGGCTCGCTCTTCGTAAACAACGGTAATTCGCAGAATGCTGTGTTTTGTAAAGACCGCTTTGCAAAGATTCCTGTCTTATAAGCTCGTCTCACATGTAAACGCACAGGCTGTTCGTGGTAGGCCCACGCTAAATGACGTCGAGTGTTTTCGGAATGGGCCGGTCCACGAACTTCATTGCTTGAAAGCT